TAGTAGGTAAGTAGGTAGGTAGATCGATCAATATACTTTTGATGCACTTTGGTAATCTAAGTGAATATATCCAAAAGGCGAATCTCTATATTCTCTTAAAGCAGTAATGTTGAGGTATAGTCCTCTAATCAGCATGAAGGTACTCTATGGATATTTTGAACATTTCGCTCTCAAGTTCAAGCATGCTTTTAAGATCAGTCCTTGTGGATAATTATTAGCAACCAGAATTCCCCTTAGACTTCCCAATTTCTGGTGCAGTTGATAAATATTTACTATGCGCAGACTCCTTATTAACATAGGCTTCATACCTTATACTTTAACCCCATAAGTTTGGTTGGAAAATAAATTAAAAACGAAACTTGCATTTTTGGGTTTCCTATACGCATCTATACCAAATTTTGTCCCCTCCTTGCCAATTAGAATATCTATAAAAAGTAAGCCACCTTCATTTTCTAACTAGATGGTGAATTTCGTCTTCCCATATATTCTTTTCATCAAACCAAGGAAATGTTGCAGGTTTTATTTGCACTGCTGCCAAACGGTAAAATATGCATATCGCGAACACATAATTTAGGGACTAAAAGTGTATCTTGAATTATGCGTTCCACAAATTAAGACATGTAATTATTTATATATAGAACAATAGAAAATGTTGTATTAAAAAAATGGTTATAGAGAAGTAAATGAAAAATACAGAAAATTTATATTCCTAAATTTCAAGGTTAAAGTGACTAGACAAATTTCTTCACAAAGTGAGTCTGCCTCCATAAAATAAAATATGAAGACACTATTCGGCTTTCAAATCATACTCTCTGTATGACCTCCATGTTTAAGCTTAACCAAATATTCCGTACTTATATATAATGTGTATTTATCCTATTTCGCTTAAAGTAACTGGGGGACTGGTAGTCGAATTTTTCCACTATCATATAAATAGGCCTATCACTCACTTTACCACTTAGCTACCGGTAGTCTCGAAAACCGACTTATAAACGAAACATTTTGTAATGATGTTCCTGGCAGGTTCACACTTCCAACATTACAACCATTTTGGTATATGTTCAACCACTTTTTATGCGCTCAAGAACAACTGTGACTAGACTAACAAGTATGTCGATAAAGAATATTAGATTGTGGAAAGACCGATTTTAGAACATAGATAGATAAATTTGACGGAAGCAGACTTATTGACCCCGTAGGTTTTTGAGACTAATAGTAGATCATATATATATATATATATTCACACTATTTCTTTTAAGGATATGATGGACTGATAGTTGAATAATTCCCACAACTATATTAGTATGCCTTAAGTTTCCATTAAATTTTACATAGCCTTGCTTTCCAAAAGGTATTCTTATCCAGGCTGTAGTAGACTGGAGTTTCATCAGCACAACTGCCAGAACTCAAACCAGGGTCATAGTAGTTCAGCATATATTCTTAATACATTAACCACTACGCCACACTGCCACGAGTTCCCTTGGGTAACAGAAAAATGGGAATTTTGAGAAAGGAAAGGCATTTTTTGGTTAAAGTGTCGCTGAAGCAGAGTTGCATTTGCTTCGACAATCGACTACATTATTTCTTTTTTTGTCTATAAGTAAGTAGATCGCACATATGAGATGTTCTTCATCTCTTTAAACAAAATAGGCTGAATATACTTTATAGATATGAGCTTCTGTTAGTCTTGAAAAACAGTTTCTAAACAAAAGACGGATAATATAGTTGATTTCTATAGCAAATACAACTTTGATTCATCAAAGCTCCCGCCACCCAATGTGATATAGAAAAACGCCTGTCATTTAAATCCACATCTGCCCTTTGACTCAAGGGCATTCGCGGCAGTCTTGAATAGTGGTAATTGTGTCGAGTTTATACGCTGAACTATCAGGACCTGAGTTCGAGCCCCTCTGGGGGTTCTAATGAAGCCAGTTTAGGCGAAGTATAAACTTCAGTCCTGTCTAGCTTTGTTAAAATACCCTTTTGGAGGCGAGATTATGTGATATCCAACGGAAATGTAAAGCATACTAATGTTATTGTAAAAAAATTCAATTACCACTCTTTCATTACTTAATACAATATTGGGTGAATACATCTCATATAGGCAATATCTTTTGCTAGGCCATCTTGTAGACTGTCATTTCACATAGTATGAAGAGTTGCTTAGTTAGATATCTCCGGCCTACCAACGATTAATAATATAGACTACTGAGCAATTTTAAATAATATCTTCATTAGAGACATTTTTAATCTAGCCCATGATGAAGTGTCACCCATTGCTATAATGCTTAATTCTATTTTGCGAAAAGTTTACTTAACTTTTTTAACATTTTCTCCGTAGAGTTGAGAACATGAATAAAATGAAGACAGAATTTTGCAACGAACTACTCTCAAAAGGGGCACAATGCGACTTTATTTCAGTGACCTGCGATAAATCTGGACAGGGCTTGTTGGAGCAATGTGAAGAGTTCAAGTGCGACATGATTGTTATCGGAAGCCGCGGTCTTGGTGCCATAAAACGCACCCTATTGGGTAGCGTCAGCGACTATGTATCACATAACGCCTCAGTTGCCGTCTGTATCGTGCCTCCTCCAACTTGAGAACGCTTATGTTTTCGAAATGATACAAATTTATTCTAGAGTACTCGTTGCTGAATCTTGATACATTCATTTATATACCGTTTATTCTAAAAGAACATTTGTCTATTCTTGCTTTAACTCTTTCAAGCACTCAGATAGATCTTTATTTTCAAATAAATTGTCAGTCCTTTAATTATTTTATATTTGCTTTTTCTTGTTACCGTGTTGGATAAGAAAGGTATATTCATATAAATGCTCTGGAGAAGTATGATCCGTAAACAAAGTGAGTAATATTCGAATAGAGTAGCATTTTGAGGTTTTTATTTGATCATGAATAAGAACTTTAGTCACTCTAGATTGCTTAAGGCGATGAAGTATAGATAATGAATTTTCTCACATTGAAAGGAGTA